ATGGAGTGTCGGCTATGGCAATGAACAACACCACCACAGCCTAAGAGGATAGGACTCCAGCCTTGTAAGGAATTGTCCTTCTATACAAAAAGGACAGTTCTTTAAAAAATATTATTAAAGAAATGTTAGTTTTCTGTTCCTTTCTTGTTAAAGTTAGTCTGAGAGGATGAGTTTTCTTCTTTGCTCAAATGTGTGCCATATGCCGCATTTAGTATTAGATGGAATGTAATGATAAGTAAAACCGAGCATGACCTCTGCTTTTAGAGCTTGCAGGAACACCTAATCTCTGCATTTCCCATGCTCCCCATACATGAAAAAGCTTCATTTCTAGAATGGAGCTGAAGGGTGAGATGGGCCAAAATGTTTAAGGTTAGTCATGTAAGTATTGTGCAGTCACAGCTTTCACTTCTCAGACAGTAGGACTGCTCCAGTTTTAGTTTCAGTTTCAGAGCTTTGCCTAGAGTAAAGTTTGTGAAAATGTGTTTGTAGATACTTCTTGTTGTGTGCTATCACATTAGAACCAACTGGTAATTGACCTTCCAGTGGGTTTTCAGAGACGGTGGCCCATCTTTCTCTCTCAGAGCAGCTGATGGATTGGGACTGTTTACCTTTGAGTTGGTGGTACAATTCCTTACTACAAGGGATCAGTCAGTCCTTGGAGAGGGATGTCATGCTTGGGAGGGTAGAGGGACAGCGTGAGAGAGGAAGACCCTTGATGGGATGGATTGATTTAGTGACTGGGGTAATGGGGGTAGGTAGATCAGAGACCATAAGATTGGCACAGGATAGAGCAGGGTTTGGGCTGTTGGACATATGGTCACTATGAGTCACAAGTGACTTGATGGCACATAACAACAACAACAACAACAACAACAACAACAACAACAACAACAACAGGCTACCAGAGCTCTGGAGGAGTAGAGAGGCAGAGGGGTGATTCCTATTATCAAGTGACAGTAAGCCGTGTTCACAGCCACTTTGCACCCTGATTCCAAACTTCATTCTCTCCTGGCTTTTATTGTTAACAGGAGTAGTTACCACAGGCTTTACTTACCCCTGTTAATAAACACACATCTCTCAGGCCATTACTGCTCACTCATCAGTGTCTGGCAAGTGCAGACAGATGGCTGCTGAACAGGTAGGGTTTAGTAGTGGAACCTGCCTGCAGCACCACTCTCATTTCCAGGCTTTACATTATGATTTTGGATTGACAGCTGACTCCTCATGCTCTTGCATCAACTTCACAAAGACCTGCTAGAAATGACTCTTAGCTGTGGGCCCACATTACATTTACTGCCCCCCGGACTAATCTCTTTGACTAGATTTCTTCACTGTAGCCTGCCTACACATGGATGTAGCAAAGAATTCTTTGAATACTGTTGCTTCATCTTGGGAAATAACTCAGAACTTGGAGTTAGTATCCTGATGACTATATTAAGTATAATTTTTTTAAGCCTATTATCTTTCAACACTTAAGCTCTTAAAAAAAAAGATTCTCTGGTATAACTTCTTGGATTCAGTGAAATATGTTTTGTTTCCAGCCGTGGCCTGTCGTTGCTAAATCTGCACCAGCATTTCGGTCTTTTTTTTTTTAAATACATTTTTTTTTAATTTTAATTGTGATTTTAATGAAAGTTTACAGAGAAGTTAGATTTTCATTAATTCATTGTTGCATGTGCGTCTTTTAAAACACAATACTCCACCCCCCTTCCTTTGCCTCCTTTCTCAGCCCCCTTGGCTTCTGGCCCCCTCTAATTGGGTAGTTTTTTAGAACTGTTTTCAGACTAAGAGCTCTAGTGGGTAAAGAATTGTGCTGCCAACCCAAAAGGCAGCTCAAACCCACCAGCTGCTTTTTGTGAGAGAGTTGAGCCATGTCTTGTGATTTACAGACTCTCAAAACACGGGGGGTGGGTCAGCTATGAGTCACTTCCGACTCAGTGGCCTTGAGCTGGTGATTCCTGCTTAATCTAATAGCTCTGGATTTGTGCCTCCTCAATGGTAATATGCTCTCTCTGCTTTATATTATCGTGTCTTTGCAGAAGGTAATGAAACTCTAATGAAGTCTAGGTTGGGTGTTTTTTTGTTTTTCCTACTTAGGGAAACAAAACTTGTACAGATGATGAGATAAGTCCAGTCTTGATGGCAGGCTACATTTCCCAGAAGCATAAGCAATGTTATAATCTCGGCCTTTGCTAAGCTCCTGGAGCTTAGGGGGACATCCCAAAGATCTAATTCTGACCTAGCCCACAACCCCCTGCTCCACCTCTCTGGATGATCTCATTCTTCTCTCTGCTTTAGCTATCATTAACAATTTGCTGCTTCTGAAATAAATACATTGGTTTCTTCTAAGCATCATACTCATATATCCCAGCTTGACCCTTGACTCTTCCACAGGAAGTTTAAGCTAATTCTGTTTCATTCTGATATTTTGCCTACTTCACTATCCCCAAACCATCTCCATGTGTGTTTGCAGTTTGCTTAATGAGTAGCCTCCAAATTAGAAATCATTATGTCCTTCTTGACTTCTTCATCATTCCCAAGTTCAGTGAGTAATTAAATAGGGCTTTGTAATTTCTCATGACTCTTCTTCCTTTTCTGTCTACTTTGCTTCTGCCTATAGTCAGGTCTCAGTTCTCTCGTGAATTTCTTGCCTTATTTTCTGCTACTTTGTTGCCATGAAAGTTGTTTTTCAATGAAAGTCTCACTTGGTCTTGTCATTTCTTTCTCTGTTCTCAAACTTTGCTGTCTCAGTGTTACCCTCAGCATCAGCAGCTAGCTGATCTCTTGTCTATAACCAGGTCTCTCCTGTCCTCCTCCTCCTCTAACCCTGGACCCCAAAGTCATGCCGCCTGCCAGATGCCCAGGATATGAGCATTTCCACTGCTGATGGGCAAATTGTGTACTAGTGTCAAACTTTCAGAACTCTAGAGCTGGATGTTTATTATGACTCACCTGGTGGATGGCAGTAAAATGTATTGTTCTAACATCAGTATATTATGCAGTGAAGGAAGGGACATCTAATACAGGAATTACGGCCTGAAGAATATGCTTTGTTCTTAGATGCTTGGTTCTCTGCCAGATAAACTTCTTCTTATCTTAGCAAAAATATCACTTCATTATGAAACCATTTCTTTATACTCTCTGCAACAATGAATCTTTTCATTGGACTGAAACAGTATTAGGGAGCTTTGGTGTCCTGGTGGTAAGAAGTTGCACTGCCATCCTGAAGGTGTGTGGTTGGAATCCACCTTCTACTCTGCAGGAGTTAAGTTAGATGGGCAGTCTACTCCTGTGTGATTAACTGCCTTTGAAAACTTGGGTCAGCTGTGGATTGGTTTGACCTGATAGTACACAACAACCATGGTATTAGTATTATTGCCTCTGAAAACCTGCTGGAGGGTCAGCTATGGGTTGGTTCCAACTCAGTGGTACATAACAACATAACAAAACAGTATTTGACTACTTCCTTCTTATAGTAATTGGAATTTGAGTCTATTTATCATATTATAGTAATTGGAATCTGAGTCTATCAGCCTCCTGCTTTCTGAGCTCCTTAAAGACAATGTTTTATTAATATTTTAAAAACTTTTATTGTGATTATGTATATAAAACACAATTTTCCCATTTAGTTGTACATTTTGGTAACATTAATTAATAATTTTTTGCAATCATCACTACTGTTTCTTATCAAAACTTTATAACCAAGGAATTACAACTAATATTAGTTACAAAATAAAATGTATGTGAGAAAATGAATGGAAAATGAATTTGCTCTATAAACTTTCACCTAAACCACAATTCAAAAAATAAACAAAAACCTGCTATCACCTCAACATAGGCAATATATCCATTAAGCAGTAACACCCCTTATCCTTTTTTCTCTAGTCCCTGTTAACTAATTGACTTTTTTGTCTCTATGTCTTTTCTTCTAGGTATTGCATGTAAATGGAATCATGTAATATTTGCCCTTTCATGTCTGGCTGCTTCACTTTCATAATGTTTTCAAAGTTCTTCCATGCTAACGCATGTATCAGAATTTAATTTCTCCATATGGCTGAAAAATCCCATTGCATAATGGGTATATGTATGTGTATTGTGTACATGTGTTGTGTGACACAGCAACACACAAGTCACTAGAGTAAGGCACACTGACAGATGAGTGGTGGGCTTATGTGTGTGTCTTGTGGGTAAGGCATGACATTCGAATCCACCAGCTGCTGCTTCAGATGAGTTAGATGGGCAGTTTGCTTCCATGTGATTTTGCTGCCTTTGAAAATCCACTGGAGGGCCAGCTGTGAGTCAGTTCCGACTCTACAACACAAAACAACATATCTATATATCTATAGATAGAGATCCAAATATATATATCTATATCTATATATCTATATCTATATATCTATATCTATATATCTATATATCTATATATATCTAGATTATACCTGCTGTTGTTTGTTGTTATGTATTGTCAAGTCAGAACTGACTCATTGCTGATTCTCCAGCATGGGAGGAGATTGTAATCTTTCTCTCGCAGAGCAGCTGGTGGATTTGAACCATATGGCTTTGGGTTGGCTGACCACCTGGCCACTAGAGTTCCCTATCTATATCTACATATGTCTGTAAGGGACCTCTGGTGGTCTAGTGGTAAGGAGTTGTGCTGCGGATCTGTCAGTCTGTCTCATTGAGGGTCTTTCTGTCTTTCACTGACCCTCCACCTTTCCAAGCGTGTTATCCTTTCCAGGGAATAGCCTCTCTTAACAATATGCCCAAGTAAATACCCACAGGATTTCATTTAATCCTCATAATTAGCATCATGAGTCCTGTTATTATCTCTTTTTACGAGTAAGGAAATTGATACTAGGAAGTTGAACTCGTTTGCCTTGAGATCCACAGCTAATAAATGACTTGTGTGGTGGTGCTGATGTGTGCCCTGGAAGACTTACACTGGTGCGTTTGCGTCCCAGAGATTCTCTTCCTCTTTTGTTTTGTCTCTCAGAACAACAATGCGGGCGTGCTGGCTGGTGAGGCAGGATAACCTGCACCAGCGAATCCGACTTCCTCATTTGGAAACAGTTGTGATTGGACGAAGCCCAGAGACTAAGATCACTGATAAGAAATGTTCTCGACAGCAAGGTAACTGGCTACAGGAATGCGGTGATGACCCTCAGGAGTCCTGATGGGTTCCTCTGGGTAAGGTGCACATTCCCTGGGCGCTGCTGTTGGAAGACCTTGTCTGTCTGCCGTAAGGAAATTCAGGGCCTGAGCTCTTTTGACCAATATGTGGACCCACTCATCCCTGCTGTTTGCTCATCATGGTGACATTCAGGGCAGGGTTAGGCGAGCATCGGAGGCAGGCCGACTCCATCCTATTAGCCTCAGATAATGTAACTGAGACCTGCATCCTTCTTTGCCTAGAGAAATTCGTATGGCAGATTCTTTGCCTGAGACCCTGGCTGAGAAGTGATGAGGTGGTTTCCTTTCACCCTGCAAGACTGGTATATGGCTGTAACTTCCAGCAGTGAAGTTGGCCTTTCTGGGGTTTAAGGAAATGAAAGTCCTTGCCCTCAGAAACAAAACCTTACCCTGTGCCTCATTTTTTCCTCAGTAAATTTTTGTTCTTGCACACGCTCCCTGAAACCATATCTGCCATGTGATCCCCAGAGCAAGATTGCCCAAGGGGTCTGAACTTTGAGAGTTGGAGACTCCAGCACTGATGATGGTTTTTCTCACATGAGTGAATCTGAATGAGGGTAAAGCCGTGTTTGAGTAACTGGGGCCAAGAAGCAGGTGCCAACACTGCTTCTTTCTCTTTGCTTCCCCATTACAACATCAGCAACACGGGCCCAAATGCATCCTGCCTTGTCCTCTGCTCCTCTCCTCGCTGAGCAGCTGCAGGGTCTTGTCTTTGCGCCCTCTCCCTAAACACTAGCTTCACTTCTGCGAATATGGGTGTTTAGTGTTTTTTTCTCTGCTTTATCCCTGCTATCTTCTTCTAGAACTTTTCCTTCATTTCCCCTACCCAAGACTAGCTGGGCTTGCTTTTAGAGAATGTGTTTTTTACCTTTCTCTGATGAAGGCATCTATAGTTTATGTAACAGTATAAGCTTGACTTAATTCCAAGTCCATACTTTGTGAGAAGGGGGATCCTTTCCCTGGCTGCTGAATCTGATCCCACATGGCCCTGGAGTTCTGGAATAGGGAGAAGTTGGGGTTTGGGGAAGCTGCCTCATTGGAATGTTAGCAGTAGTTAAGGGAATATGTACATGGTTGGACATTTTATGGGGTATCTGAAACTCTTAGAAATTGGTGAGATTTAGAGAACTAGATCCTCTGTGTAACAGGCTTGTAGGCCTTGGAAAGTATGTGTCATGTTGCCCACAAGGGTGAGCTTCATTGTCCTGTAGGGAGAACAGGAGCAAAGGCTTGCTTCCAAGTGGAATTTAAGTTTAACTGTATCCAATCTCTTTCAGTACAGCTGAAAGCAGAGTGTAACAAGGGCTATGTCAAGGTCAAGCAGGTATGTGTATTTGTAATTTGAAATTGCATATTACACTTGATGACGGTCTTATACTCTTGAATTTTGAGTGTCCATGCCAGCCATTGAAGGTTGCTCTCCTATGTGTGGAATATCTTCTGCTTTTCAAAGCCTTATGCCAATAAACCTGAATTTTGGCAGTACTTGGAAGTGGGGAAGGAATTGCTTCTGGTAAAGTTATACAGGACAGAGAGGAGATAATACTTTTTTTGACCCTGGACTGTGAGAGAAGGAGCAGGGAGATTTATACCAATCTCTTGGAGTTTTATGCAAAGTATGAGACTTAGCAGCATAATCAGTACTGTCATTGCATAGCCACGTTGCAGGTTAACAAAGGTCCTGTGGCCTGGCTTGGTATTTTATGTAACTGATGTTGTTGATCTGTGCCATCGAACTGGAATTGACTCATAGCTGACCCTTCAGTGGGTTTTAAGAGACAGTAAATCTCCTTTTCCATGGAGCAGCCGGTGGATTCAAACCATGTGCCTTTGGGATTGAAGTGTGATTTCTTACCACTCAACCACCAGAGTTCCCTAATAACTGGTATAGGAAATGGTTTTTTCCTTGTGAAAATGTGTTCCAAACTTCTAGTAGCTAACTTAGAAATGAGCCTTTGGAAACAGACCCTGTTTATAAATGATTGTGTTATTAAAGCTGTTACTGCTATTAAGATGATTTTCTGGCTGTTTACTCCATAGGTAGGGGTCAACCCCACCAGTATCGACTCAGTCATAATTGGGAAGGACCAAGAGATGAAGCTGCGGCCTGGCCAGGTTCTCCACATGGTGAATGAACTTTATCCGTATGTTGTAGAATTTGAGGAAGAGACAGAAAATCCTAGCCTGGAAACATGCAGGAAAAGAAAGAGGTCAGGCAACAGTGATTCGTTAGAAAGGGATGCCCAAGAAGCTGAGACAGGGACAAGACCAGGTCCCAGGGGTGGCATTACCCACTGCTCTGTGACCCCGAAGAAGGAGGAAGAGGCATCTACCAAAAAGGTGAGGGTAAGGTGCTTGACAGGTGATGTAGCAACTCAGTGAGATATAATGACTGTTTAGCATTTTGCACGCTGTAAAACTCAGTCCTGTATAAGGAGTTATCAACCATAACAAGGGTTATTACCCAAGATGAAAGAGTTACATGCTTGTGGAATGAAAATCATTTGGGTGAATGTCCTTTTATTTATTTTTCTCTTGAATTCCAAAAGGTAGAGTGATAATGGTAGTGGGGTAGTAAAGTTAACATTGAACCACTTAAAAATGGATTAATCATAATATATATCTATAAAAGGTTACCATTGGAAAACATTTCATAGATCTTGAAATTCTCATCTTGAAATCAAAGTGGAGACTTAGCCAGACTAAGTAGAAGTAAGCGAGCAAAGAAGACAGGATTCATGTTGTGTAGCATTTCTAGCCTCTATCTAAATGCCTGGCTCCAAAACGGAGGGAAGAAGGAAGGGCTGTTAGTTCTAAAATATAGTATTAATAGACGGAAACTAAGGGATCTAGTTTGATTTCTGAAACTAACCTTATTTCCATATTGATTGATGCTTTTCTATCACCCTCTAAACTAACTAATGTCAAGTGCAGCTGTTGGCATTGGTAATGCACATGACACTTTCTGTGTCTTAGGAATCATTAGGCCACTGGAGTCAAGGTTTGAAGATTTCTATGCAAGATCCCAAAATGCAGGTAAGAATACATTTGGATTAAAATTTATTTCAAATTTTAAATGACCATTCTACAGAGGTCAAATCTATACTACAAATGATATCAAAGGAGATCAGTTCTTTAAATGAAATGTTTTCTTGGTCTGTCTGTGAGAACAAATAGCTTTTTCCCCTGGAATTCTTTGTGGAAGAAACTGAGGGCTTCCAATAAATTCATGTTCCCTCCCCTTTGTCCCTCCTAAACTTCTGGGTGCTATTAGGTTGTGGCTGTTTTAAAGGAGCCTCAGTATTGTGACTGACAGATTTGCAGGGCTTCTTCGGGGGAGCTCTGGTGGCCTAGTGGCAGGAAGCTGCATTGCAATCTCAGAGGTGCACGATTCAAATCCACCAGATGCTCTGCTGGAGAAGGAGGGACAATCTCCTCCTGTACCAGTCAGATCTGATTTGACGGTACACACACAAAAAAAATTAAATTTTTTTTATTAAAAAAGCATTTGCAGGGCTTCTTGGAACATCAAATGGCTTTGGAGGTTGGAGAAGGGTGGATTCAGATTTATGCTTGTACTGATTCTGTATCAGCTCTGTAGAAGTATTTTATATCTTCTTTATAATCTGTACAATAACAGTGATTGAGAACACTGACTTGAGTCAGCTAGATCAGGGTTTGTTTCCTACTTTGTAACTGATTTTTGCACAGGACACTCAACCTATTTGGGTCTCAGTCCTCCCATCTAAAAATGTTGATAGACTAAAACCTTTTGCACAAGATTGTGGTTGGAATTTAGCAAGTTAATGAGTATAACAGCAGCCTGCACAGAGAGAAGCTGGACACTCTGAATGGCCTTCTCTGTTTCTCGGCAGGTTTACAAAGATGAGCAGGTGGTGGTGATTAAGGACAAGTATCCCAAGGCCCGTCATCACTGGCTGGTTTTACCCTGGGCCTCCATTTCCAGTTTGAAAGCTGTGACCCAGGAACACCTGGAGCTGCTCAAGCACATGCATTCTGTGGGGGAAGAGGTCATTGCAGATCATGCTGGCTCCAGCAAACTCCGCTTCCGGCTGGGCTACCACGCCATCCCCAGCATGAGGTAAACTCTGGGTGGCGCTGGTGACCCCTGGTCCGTCAGGCTGTAATCTCCAGCCTCTTCTGTCACCAGAGCTGTGTTTTCCAACACCAGTCCTTTGGTGTTTCCAACTTTTGTGTTTAAGTCACCAGTTATAACTAATGCATCTTGATTGCATGTATTTGAACCATTTCAGATTGCAAAAGTTGCTAGAAATCCTCAGATTCTTCATCTTTGGCTTTAGTGGTTGGTGCATCTATTTGAATAATAGTTGTGTTAATGGGTCTTCCTTGAATGGACGGTGTCTTGCCACTTACAGCATTGTACTTCAGTAGATCTTGAAATGTTCTTTTTGATGATGCCTGACACACCATTCTTCTTCAGTTTGTCATTCTTGGCATAGAGCCTATGATTGAATCAGAATGGTCAGTACTGGCCCATCTCAGCTACGATGTGTTCCGTTAATTTTTTTTCTTCATTAATTGTTGACAGTTTCCAGTTTTCCTAGAATTCTTGTTTTGTATGTTTAACGTTCCTGTTATTGATGGAGTTCGTAGTTGCTTGTCATCATTTGAAATCTTGCCACATCACCAGTGGAAGTACTCCATCAGTGCCATTAAAGTAGGCTTCTCTCTGAGGAGGCAGGGCTTCCCCAAGTTGCATTTTGAGTGCCTTCCAACTTCTGAAGCGCTCATATCCCAGCACTGTACTGAACGGTTTTCCAGGACTATTCAGAGGACCTGCTATTTGAGAAGTAGATGGCCAGTCCTGCTTCTTTGTCTGTCTTAGTCTGGAAGCTGCACTGAAGTTTGTCCACCATGGGTGACTTTGCTGGTGTTTGAAATACCTGTAATGTAGCTTCTAGCTTCACAGAAACACGTAAGCCAGCATAGTAAGGCAAACTGACTGACAAATAATGGAGAAATCAGTAGTGGTTGTTAGATGCTTTCATGCTGACTACGATTCATAATGACCCCATGAACAATATAACTGAATGTTGCTGTATCTTCTGCCATCATCACAGTCTCCCTCATGCTCAAGCCTATTTTCATTTCACAGAGACCTTACTCTCTTTCACTGACACTCCACCTTTCCCAGCTTGTATCTCTTTCCAATGGCTTGCTCCTTTGACAACGTGTCCAAAGTATGAGAGACAAAATTTCACCATCCTTGCCTCTAAGGAGCACTCTGGTTGCATTTCCTCTAGACTGATTTCTTTGTTCTTTTTCTGGTATATGCAAGACTCTTTCCCAGCACCACAATTCAAAGACATCATATCTTTTTTAGTCATCTTTATTTAAATTAGTTATGTTGAACCACATGGTGTCACTGACTGGAAGTGGAAAGAATGTTGACATGGAAAATATCACATTTATCTACCAACCTTACAACTTCAGTCCTAGGATACATATCCAGTAGTTACAGAATTGCTAACGTATGACAAGTACATAGTTTTTATGTAGTTCTTTTGTCTTTAGTTTTACAGTATCCAATACTAATCTGTTTTCCAAAGTTACTCAGGTTAGCTGTTTTCTACCTTCTGTATCCTTTTCAGTGGGGGGTCTGTTACTCATCTGTAATCCAGTTAGGTTTATTTGTTACTACTTTTGTTCCATTTTAATTTCCCTCCATAGAAGTTTATTTTGGTAATTTTTTGGGAAAGTTTTTAAAAAAAATCATTTCTGTCATTTCAAGACAGTATGGTCAAAACCATACAAAAAGTCTTTTTTTTAAAAATTTTTTGTTGTATTATTTTTACGTGTACTGCCAAATCAGATCTGACGGGTACAGGAGGAGATTGCCCCCTCCTTCTCCAGCAGAGCATCTGGTGGATTTGAACCACGCACCTCTGGGATTGCAGTGACAAAAAGTCTTTTTAAATGCAACTAATCTAAAACAGAGCCCTTGGTTTTCCAAATCCGCCCTTCCCAACTCAGTAAGTGGGACCAGCCAGTTTTTAACCCACATCTAGTCTTTAGTAAACTCTGTTGAGTGTATCCCCAAATGTTCAAACTTGGTCTAGCTTTAGATCTAATTTAAGCCAAGCTCTTTTCTGGCTTGAACTGCTTAATAGTTTCCTGGTCTCCCTTACCTTTCATACAGTTCTTTCTCCAACCCACAGCTAGAGCAGTCTTTTGAAAGTACAAATCAGATATTAGTCTCCCCTGCTTCAAACCTTTCAGTTACTCCCTCCTTTGATCAGGATAAAATATAAATTCCTTGTTTGCCCTTAAGGCCCTTTATGATCTGGCCGCTGCCTGTTCTCCAGCCAGTGTCTTCTTGCTTATTGCACTCAGCTACATTAGCCTTCTTTCTGTTGTTTGAGTGCAGTGAGCTCTTTCTCATCTCAGAGTTTTTACACTTGTCCTCCTCTTGAGATTCTCCTCCCTCAAACCGGGCTTGCCTGGTACTTTCTCAGCTGAAATCCCTGCCTGTGAGAGATGTTTTCTGAACATCGTTGCTACTAAAGAGGCAGCTAACTGTCTAGTTTTCTTGTTTTATTTCTCCTTAGCAATGATAATGATTGGGATTTCCCTTGATTAGTCATTAGTTTATTGCTCGCTCCTTTAGAATGTGTCTTCTATAACGGCATAGGCTGTTTCTGTCTTCTTGTGTTGCTATCGAGTCAAGTACAACACATAGTGACCCTGTGAGCAACAGATCTGAACCCTGTTCTCTCCTGTACCATCCTCATACTTCCTGACACACTAGTGCCCATTGCAGCAGTCACTGTGTCAGTCTACATGGTGGGGGGGGGTGTCTTCCTCTCTTTTGCTGTCCCTCCACCTTCCCAATCATGTCCTTCTCCTAGAAATAGCCTCTCCTTAGCAATATGCCCAAACTCTGTGGGATGAAGCTAAATCCTCTTTGCCTCCAAGGAACACTCTGGCTGCATCTTCTTCAAGACATAGCTGTTTGCTCTTTTGGCATTCTGTAGGATATGGTGTTATCTCCAACATCACAGCTCAAAGGCAAGAATTCTTCTTCTGCCATCCTTAGTTGTAGTCCAACTCTCAGATGCATAGCAAGTGACTGAAAAGATCTTGGAGTTCTTCATCTTGGGAGGTGCCATCAAATTGACTCCAACTTGTACTGACCCTGTGTACAACACATCAAAACCTTGCTTGATCCGGCATCATCCTTAAAATCACTGCTTTGAGGCCAATTGTTACCGTCACTATGTAGATAAATATAATTTGTTGCTAAATTTTAGTGCCTAGAAAAGTGCTTGCCACCTGGTAGGTACTTGAGAAGCATTAAATGTTGTCAAGTGAATGGACTGAGTTGATTTGCACACTGTCCACACTGTGTATATACCCATATGTCTACCCAGTTTATAATTTTAATTCAGCCACAATTCTGAATGAGTTTAATGGTTGATTTCCTTTCTTTCTTTTCTACCAGCCATGTGCACCTCCATGTGATCAGCCAGGATTTTGACTCCCCTTGCCTTAAAAACAAAAAGCATTGGAATTCTTTCAACACAGAATACTTTCTAGACTCACAAGGTAAACCTGTGCTTCTTTCATTTTCTCTGCTGTTCTTATACTTGATTACCTTGTTTTTCTAAAGAATAACCTACCTTAAAAACCCATATACAATTTTGTGTACTTTAGAGAGAGCTCCATTTACAGAAACTGTATTATTTGATTACAGTGCAGTTGCCACTTTGCTGTGAGCAGCCTTCTTTGGCAACTGCAAAAATGGTTTTGTTAGGGTCAAAACATGTTTGAACAGGAGGGATTTTAAGATTACTCTGAAGATTGCTGGAGTTTTGTGGATGAGAAAGCTTTGCTCAGCTCTGTCTCTTTTGCTCTGGGGGGTGTGGCAGGGAGATCAGTGGCTGCTTTGTATTGGAAGTGGTCCATTGATGAAAAGCTTCAATGCTCAATGACGTGGAAGGCAGCCTTTCTGTTTTATATACTGTCTAAAGTCCAGTATTCTGCGGTTAATGGTGACGGCTACCATTTATAAGGGACCAGCAGGTCCCTTATAAGCACTGTGCTAAGTCTTGACATAGTAACATGGTTTGCTCAGAGTGTATCTGAAAAAATACATGCTGTCTCAAAGACTGTGTGTTCAGATGAGCTTCTTTTCCCAACAGGAAATCACACTTTCCTCAACAGCTTTAGGAAATCTGACATACTTTGATTTGCAGTCCCGTTTTCTTTTCTGATGTCTTACGGAATCTCTGTGATCTGGACTTTTTTGTCTTGCCTGCAGCTGTGATCAAGATGGTACAGGAGGCTGGCCGAGTGACTGTTGGAGATGGAATGTCCGAGCTCTTGAAGTTGCCCCTTCGCTGTCATGAGTGCCAGCAGCTGCTCCCTTCCATCCCTCAGCTGAAGGAGCATCTCAGGAAGCACTGGCCAAAGTGACCTTATGGAGACCCGACTTTTGCATGGAAGGTGGTCAACTGTTAGGTGCAAACTACTGGCTCCTGTTTTGATTGCGTGTCAACTTTTACTTGTGAATTAAAACATGCAGTGCTTTATTTTTTTAAAAGTCATCTGTTCACCCCCCCCATATAATTTTATTTATTTTTTTGTTAATAATATATGCAGCAGCAAGCAGAAAGTTTCATTCAAACTTCATGGCTCCAGGAAGCCTGGAGTCTATGAAAATTTGCTATTTCTGCATTTTTCTGTAGAAACATGGTCAGTAATGGTAGCTGGTTACCATCCAGTTCTGGTCTTGTGGCAAAGGAGGCAGTTAGACACGTTCCAAACCCTCCTGTTGCAACTCTCTCTTTCTCTTCCTCTATTCCAGGGAAAACAGACCAATTGTGCCTCGGGTAACCTCAAAGACTTGCAAGCCTCTAAGACCTTATGTATTAGAGTAGGAGGTAGGAAGAGGCACAAAGCATCTTATTGTCCCAATTAATTGGAACATTCTGTGAACCAAGCCAAGGATTAAATCTCATGAAGTATTTGGTTGTACATAACCAACCTTAGCAACTACTCTTTAATGTTGTTGTAAATCATAAACTTTACCAAGTTCAACTTAATGACTTAGTAACTGGCTCTGTAGTCTTACCTTTAATCAGCGTAGTGTTTCCATCACCCCTTTTTCACCGTCCTTCCTGTCTTGGTAACCACTAATAAACTTTTTTCTCTATTCCTTTCTTAATTCTTGTGTGTTTATGTTATTGTTGTGTACCGCGAAGTCAGAACTGACTCATAGCTGACCTTCCAGCAGTGATACTGTGCTTGTCTCTTCATATGTATTCCCTGTCTCTTCACCCACCTTAATCTGTGACTGTTACCTATTTACTGATTTTCCCACCTTTTTTGATGCTTTGTGCATCACTCAATATTTTATTCATTGAATCCTTCACTTACTGTAACTTGAATTTTTTTCTTCAGTTCATTCAACTTGAGAAATACCAAGCATGCTCTTCCCTTTTGACTTTCTAACTCCAGGTGTTTGCACATTTCATTATAATATTTTACTTTTTCTTCCACTGTTTCCCTTTGAAATATTCTGTTCATCTTTTTAATGTTATCATTTTGATATTTCCAGTCAATTTAGTTATTCTACATTCAAGAGCCAGTTCTAGAGGCCTTTCTCAAATCCATCTTGGTCTCTCTCCAGTCTTTTCTTATCTTTTCTTTCTTCTTGTATGATGTCTGTGATAACATCTTAGAACTCATCTGTGTCTTTGATCATTGGTCTTCAATGCATATGTATTTTTGACATAGTTTCTGAGTTCAGCTAGGATACACTCAAGTTAATTTGACTCTTGTAGACTTGTTTTAAATTTCTACAGCTTGCATTTGAATTTGCATATAAGTATTCTTGTGTTTGGCCTTTTCATGTCAGATCTAATGGGAGCAAATCTGTGTACAAATTGACTTAACATAGAGTTAGAAACAGAAGACTAGGTATATATTTGTGCTCCTTGTTGCTATTGTATCAAGTACAACCCAAAGCAACAGATCTGAACCCTGGCCTATCCTGTGCCATCCTCACACTTCCAGACATACAAGAGCCCACTGTAGCAGTCACCATACCAGTCTACCTGGTTGAGGATCTTCCTCTCCTTCACCGACTGCCTGCCTTTCCAAGCACCATGTCCTTCTCCAAGGAAAAGCCCCCTTCTAGCAACATACTTAAAGTATGTGAGGTGAAGCTTTATCACCTTTGCCTTCAAAGAGCACTCTGTCTGCACTTTCTCCAAGACACATTTGTTTGTTCTTTTTTCAATCCATGGGATGATCAGTACACTTCTCCAGCACCCCAGCTCAAAGGCATCAGTTCTTTTTCTGTGACCCTTATTTATTTTCCAAGTCTCAGATGCATACCAAGTGATGGAGAAGACAGGCTTGAATTAGGTGCTCTTAAGTCTTCAAACTGACTTTGTTGCTCCTCAGTAATTTGAAAAGGACCCTGACAATGGACTTGCCACATGCAATACAGCTCCGGATTTCCTCACTGCTGGTACCAAGGGTGTTGGTTGTGGATCCAAGCAAGATGAAGTTGTTGACAGTTTCAGTCTTTTCTCTGTCTGTCAATGTTGCCTATCAGTACAGTGGTAAGGATCTTTGTTTTCTTGACATTGAAATGCAGTCCATATTGAAGGCCATATTCTTTGATGTTATGCAGCAAGTGCTTCAAGTCCTTCTCATTTTGAGCCAGCAAGGTTGTGTCACCTGCATAGCACAGGTTGTTGATGAGTCTTCCTTTTCCTTTATTCTCCCTTGCTTGCGGCACACACACACTTTTCGTTTATGTCTCTCTTTTTAAAAATATCTTACTGTGATTGGGTGAAAGTTTACATAGCAGATTAGTTTTCCTTCAAGCAGTTTATACATTTTTCTTTTTATCATTCCCTTAGCTTAAGAACCCTTCCTCTTCCTTCCTGGGTTCCTTGTTTTCATGCACCCATTTTTCCTATTTCCTCTCCTGAACTTTGGTTTTTGGACCAGTGCTGTCCTTCTGGTCTTGTATGATAGACTGTGCTGAGGAGTATATGCTTCATAGGCATTAATTTTTTAAGGTCTTTGAGTGAAAGGTGATGTTTGACCGTAAGCTCACTGTCAGGTTTGAAGAGTGTCTAAGGTCTATAGTTTCGGGGTTCCATATGGCACCCATTCACCAGAGCTAGAGTGGTCTCATCTTTATTTTGAAAGTGCTCATAGAAGCCTTTCCTGCAGTTCAAAGCCACTAGCAGCTCTTGCAGAGGCAAGATGAACCATCTCTGTCCACTGCATTTACAGCCTCAGAAACCCGATGCAGGGTTGCTATGAGTCAAATTGAATCAACTGAAGTGGGTTTGAATTTTCTGAGTTAATCCTACTGGAGCAGCCTGCCTTGTTGTCTTTCTCAGAGCACCTGGTGGATTTGAACTGCTGGCTTTACCGGGTGGCTCCTTGGAGGCAAAGATTCGGAGGCTCCGTCTAACATACTTTGGACATGTTGTGAGGAGAGACCGGTCCCTGGAGAAGGACATCATGCTTGGGAGGGTGGAGGGACAGCGCAGGAGAGGAAGGCCCTCTATGAGGTGGATTGATTCAGTGACTGGGATAATCGGGATGGGAGTGTCGGAGACAGTGCGATTGGCACAGGACAGAGCGGAGTTTAGGGCTGTTGTACATAGGGTCGCTATGAGTCGCAGGTGACTCGACAGCACATAACAACAACGGCAACATCATAGCTACAGCATCACCAGAGCCCCTCTCTTATACTAATGCACTCATTCACTTATTCGTTGCTGTTGAATCACAGATAACTTGAAGCTGACCCTCCAGCAGATTTCAGAGGCTGTAACTGCCATGGGAGAGGATTGTCCATCTCTCTTCCTTGGCGTCACTGCCAGAGAGGTTCCACCTTTGGGTTAGCAGCGCAGCTCCCTCGGATGACTCCTTGGTCTCATTGCCGTCGAGCTGGAATTTATTCATAGCTGACCTTGCGGTATGTTTTGAAAGGCTGTCATCGCCTGGAGGGAGAGATTGCTCATCTTTCCCTCGAGGTGGGTTCAAACAGCCAGCCAGGCACCACCTTTGAATTAGCAGTCCAACTCCCTACACACTGTGCCACTACCATCCCTCTGGCACTAAAGGAAGATGGTTACAACTCACCTACACATTTCACTTGGAGACTTAGACACAGGATAATCTTGTCCATGACCTGAGAACTGCCTGAACTTGGCCATATGGTCGTCATAGTTTGGCTTGCTGGCTTGCTTGGATCTGTTGCTCAAACATAAAGATCAAAAGGGACACCTGTTAAATAGTCAGAACTATTGAAATTCAATAATCACAACATTTGGAGGCACCAAAAACATAGTCATTGAATGGAAAGGTATTTTCTATTCCCAATCTCGCTTAACAAGTGTATTTAATTAAGATCGAGTTTGAGCTTTCCTACCAAGTCCATTTTCTGGGTTTCCTGTCATTGGCCACCAGATGGCGGCCTTTGAACAAGAAATTCTTTTGGCTTCCCAGTCCAGAATGTTTTTAGAGTCTCTTAAGTTTTATGTAACTTACGTTTCAGAATCATATTAAGAAAAATAAAGGGTTTTAAAAATCATGTCATTGTGTGCTTCACAGCTGTATAAAAAAATAGATATTTAAAAGAATACCAGAGTGCGGTTAAGAATATACCATTGCTAGGAGAACCAGTTTTGCTTGGAGGTTAATTCCAAAAGGAAAACCCAAACGCTTTACCAGCTAGTCGATTCTGAATCAAAGCAATCCTACAGGACAGAGCAGAACTGTTCCTGTAGGATTTGCAAGGCTGGACTGTTTACAGAAGCACACGGCCACACCTTTCTCCTACAGAGTGTCTGGTGGGTTAGAACCATTGACCTTTCGTCAGCATAACCCTTAACCACTATGCCATAGCTGCCAGAACTGGGTAGAGCTGACACTGAAATCCCATTCTGGCACTGGGCAGAAGAGAGTTTGGAGGCAAGTAGAATGCACTGCGAGGCCTGAATATGTGCTGGGCTTATTTCTTCTCATCTCTTTTTTTTTCTTCTATAATTATATTTTATTAATTTTCATAAACATTTACAGAGATTTTGGGTTTCCATTCATTCACCGCTGCACCATTCTCTCTACCCTCCTCCCAGTTTGTTCTTGTCCAAATGCCACAGTGCTTGTCAAAGCCAGTTCTGATTAATCTTCTTTGTCAGTGTGTCCTTTGCCATTCCCTATCACTTCTCCCTGAGAGAGACTTCACCCTGAGTCATAAGGAAAAGGGGATGGCGTATTCTCTTAGCTACTTCCTGCTGAAAAGGGACGCTGTGGGTTTCAGGGTGAAGATCTTCTCTCACTACTCTAAAGGGCCCCTTTGGCAGTAGGAAACACATAGACTATTATGGAGATTGATTTTGGAATTTAGATGCACTCTTATTGATTGTGCTTGGCCATAC